CCATAACAAATTAGAGTATTTGTGGTTGTGATTCATCTGGGCCTGGTCTCTGCTCTCCAAAAGCCTCCTAGATTGAGCCCTTTTGGGAAATCACACAAACCATGTGTTTCTCTGTCCTGCCTGAACTCTACTGGAGGCAGGCATGGGGCTTCCCAGCCCAGCATGTAACATAGGCACCACTCAGGAACTTCATTTCTCTCACCTTTCTGCTGTCTTGTCTTCTGGTCTCTTCAGTTGTCACTCTCTTCGCATACAGAGCTGTCCACCTGCCAGCACATACATCTGCACCAATTGCAGCTGGGCCTTGGCCTCTCTGAAAGCCACTATTGCTATCCACATAATTAATAACCACAACCTTCTGTACAAGGAGATCTTTTTCCAGTGAGTTGCAACATATAATGATGCTTGTAGGGAACAGACTGCTGAGTATCTCATGCTGAAGGAAGCCAAATCTTCCTATTATGACATAGTGAGATCAATAAATATCTCCATTGCAAGCAAATTTGTCATGGCAAATGGCTTCAGCCCGTGGGGTACAAGCTGAAATCCAGCTGAAATCTGTAATGAAGTAACAAAAGTTATAATGGTCTCATTGAGACTCTCCTGTAACTTGTATAGGTTTGGGAATGTCAAGCTGCTCCCTGGAGAGGATCTAGTGTCCCTGTGATGGGCTAATGTAGAGGGAGGTGGGGAAGAACCAAAACACGAGAGTACTCATTTGGACCTTACGCAGCTGCTCACTTACGAAGTAAGGACTGAAGCCACAGCATCACTGTCCTCCCATTATCACCTTAGTGACAGCAGCATGGTGAACTCACAGCATCACTTCATTTGTGAACAAAGAAGAAGGTTGAATATTTTCATAGTGTCTTCAAATCCCTTCAAATCCCTCTAGCCCAACTACCTTCACAGAACAGTGTTTTCTACCTTCCCTTATGGAAAGCATTTTGTTAATATTTGAGCAATGAAGAAGACACAGCAGCTGTTAACAGCATTTTCCCCTTGAAGCAGATTGTCCTCAGGTAAAGCAAAACACAATTAAGGTACTGGCAAAGTCAGTTATATTAGACAATCCATATCCTCATAATGCAGATATTTTCTTCAACATCTGTCACCAGCATCAAATCCCCAATCACAGCAAGATAACTGGCAGCCTCATTTTGGGGGAAGATGAAATGGCTTGTGTTGCCACCAAAACCAGCCTGGATTTTGTTTGTGTAAGTGTTGGAGCCTGGGGGTGGTATCGCTCATCTAGCTACATTGCTGGAGAGTCATGTATCAAGGACAGGCTTCTGAGGTGGCTTCTGTCTCTCTCCTATTTACTGCTCCATTAATTACAAACCAGATGTCAGGGGAAGATTTAAAAGTCAACTTTATTTGAAATTCTGCAATATAAAAAACTCAACTACAACAATTTATTTTTTTTTTGTGGTGGGGAGGGGAAACATGAAGGAGAGGAATGTTCTTTAATCCTTTGCTTATAGTTTTTTCTATTTTTTTTAACTCTTATTTTTTAAAGTTGTGGTTGTTTTGTCTTTTACTAAATGGCAAAAGGCATTTCTCTTTTTCTTTCTGCCCCCTCAGCCCCCAGAAGGTTTTTCTTTGAGAACCAGACCTCACCCAAGACCTTCTCCCTCCCAGCTGGAATTTCTGTCATACATTCCTTTTGCTGTTTATGCCCCAAGACTATTCAGAAACATAAATGCAGCTGCCTACTTGCTTGACAATTCATGAACCATGTTACACTTCCTTTTCAGTGTCTGCACAGGCTTCCAGGTGTCCTGAAGCTAATGGAGACACGGCTGGGGCTGAAAGGAATGGTATCCCTACCTCACAGCCAGAGATGGCAGTCCCTGGATGGCTGGAATGTAGAAGGGGACCTGGGTGATGAGATGCTGGTACCATACTCTGGAGCTGCCTGGGCAGTCAGTTGGAGCATCCTCCAGAATCACAAAATCATAGAATCATTTAGGTTGAAAAAACTTTAGGATAATCGAATTCAACCATAAACCTAGCATTGCCAAGTCCACCATTAAATCATGTCCCTAAAAGGCAGCATCAACAGGGAGGCAGAGCACTGCTCTACTACTCTTGTTTCCATTCCCTGAACAGAAATGAGGGGATGGACTGAGGAAGCAAAGAACGTAAGAGGAAGAACTCATTCCTCTTTTTTTCACTCTGCCAGTTTCCCACCAGCTACTGCATTTTTCCTCTAGAAATTTGATTTCCTATTTACTGTGGGGTTAACCCTTTGGTTAATCTAAGGTCATCTAAGGATGACTCTCATGTGTAAGCGGCCAATATGTTTAATCAAGGCCAACCTGATTTTATCAGACTGTAGAGAACACAGTGTAAGGTCAGGAGCAATAACATTGTTCAGTTCCTTGCTTAGGAAAGCTTCAACGTTAAAGAAAGCTTCCCTGTTGTATAATATTCAGGAGGGTGAGGTGCTGCACTCTCAGCTATATGATGGGACTAATGGAATGGAATAACTCAATGGAAAAAAAATCCAGCAAATTTCTACAGGATTTGTGTGTGTGTGTGTGTGCACAAAATTGTTAACTATCTCTATAAATCATCAGAATTTTCTAATTATAAAATTTTTGGAAGGAGTAAAGGATGAAGGCAAGAAGATAAACCCATGTAACAGTTTGGAAAGCTTAGAAGCTGCAAGAGCTGGGTGTTAATGCCAGTTGCCGGGGTTACACTCTCTTGTAAATGTGGGGAGGGAGGAGAAATAATCTGTAACCTTCTAGTGGGAGTCAGGACTGGGAGTCTGTACTGGGGCAGGGACAGCCTAAGAAAACCAGTATATTTATTGAGAGAAACGAGTCACGAGGTGGCTGTAACAATTTGGATCCCAGTGCAATTTTGCTGGTGTTTTTGTCAGAGATCTGCAGGCACTGGCTCATGCTGCAACAAGACCAAGGATGGGATGATGGGTTCTACAGTTTCTACAGATGATCAGTTCTACCTTAAAAACTGATCATAAACTGGAGGCCAACTGAGAAGGCTAAAAGAAGGCTGTGCTGGAGGGCACTGTGGAACAAGAAGGGGGCACAGACAGGCACCTAATCACAGGGAAGAGCTGAGAAACACAGCCGAAAGGGCAGTGGATGGAGAGGTGGAGCAGTGATTCCACATGTGTGACTTCAGGAGGGGAGACTCTAAGCTACCCCCCCAAGCCTTCCTGTGATGTCTGGGCCATGTCAGACCATGACATGGGGCCTAAATAAACTCTCCAATGCAAGTCCAGCCTACAGATTTTACTTGAAAAATGTTGAGAGTTCTAGCAAACACTTAATATGCCTGCTTTCCAGCTGGTACTCTGTCTCCTGCTACTCCTGTGCAGGAAAAGGCATCGTTGGGTTCCTCACCCCTTGGGATTGGAAGCTGAACTGAACATTTCAGAACTGGACATTCCTACCCCCGACTGTTTTTGCAACATGACAAAAGCAAATGAAACTTTAATAGGAACATAGTTTACAAGTGGAAGAACTATTTACATATCGCTTGGAGGAACACATAAAATAGTGGATCTGTAACCAGAGACTCAGTTATTCAGTGAAAAATGTAGCTGTGAAGTCCAGTTACAAAGGCAAAAATTGTTAGATAAAAATCATGCAGCCAGTCAGTGGAGTGACCTAACTGCACAAAAGTGTGGCTCATTGGTCCCAATTACAGAGGTTTGTACTAACAAAGGGTGATCTCTAGCCTGTGGAGTTCATAATCTAATCTAAGATTCATTGCAACCATGAAAATGGAGGAAAATGGGACAGTAATGTAAAACATGATTAAAACTTTGCTAAACAAATATAATCAGAGCACTTACACAGGTGGATGAGTGTTTTGAGCAGGTGGGGTGAGTTCTGGTCTTGCATGAAGGCTTCAAATCTTTCTTGCCACTTCTGGAAAGCCCCTGTATTCAGAAGTGCTGTTTCTCCCTTTCTCCTCGTGCTCTTTACTTCTTCCGGCTAGGGGATGCTCCCAGCACGGTGAGTCCGACCGTCCTACCCTGGCAAGGGATGTCTGTCCCTGAGCAGGGATGGAGAGAGCTTTCGCGCGTTCATTTCCAATGGCACGCCATCTCGTGTATACTGCGGGCAGAAGGTCTACGGACGGGACAGCACCGTCGTGCTTCCAAACCCGGGCTCGAGTTCATGACCGGTCAAATAGGAGATGCTGGTACCGCGCGGTGGGGCCGCTGCCAGTACGCTTCATTGCGCGGTGGAACAGAAGCGTTGCTAAAAAGGCGATTGGTGGTTTAGCAAACACAACTCCTGCCTCGCTCCAGGGGCACACCAGCTGCCAGCAGGCTCTCAGCACCCACGAGTTGCATCGGGGCGGCGTGGTGGGGGAGGTTACGGAGCTTTTGCATCACACCTCAGTCTTGCCTCCCCTGGGCTCGGGAGGCTGCCCGCGGGTGAGGCCAGGGGACCACAGTCACGACCACTACGCAGAGCCGTGATTTAGCATTTTACGCGAAGGTGTCAGCCCTGCTCTTGCATTGGGAGCTCACCGCAGTACCAGAGCTTTCTGGCTACTTGAGGGAAAACTCCCGATGTGGCGGTGCAGATGGACGGAGCCGGTTCCCAGCTCTGGCTCCCGTCAGCGGAAAGGCGTGCGGGGCGATCCGTGCGGCCCCGGCGGCGGATGAAGACTCCGGTACAAACACCCACGACAGGCGCTCCTGCTGAGCCCTGCCCGGCCGCTCGGCCGAGAGGCCGCTGCCGTGACCCAGCCCAGGGTCTCTCCCGTCTCTGACCCGTTCCCGGCCTCACATCCCACTCAGTCGCGCAGGGCGCCGTGGGGTGCGCTCGCCGGGACACCCCGCCCGTCCCCGCAGCCCGAGCGCGCCCGCCCCGGCAGCGCCGGCCCCAACTCCTCATTGGCCGCGGCCGCCGGAGGGCGGATGACGCCCGGGCGGGAGCGGGCGCCGGGGGTATAAAGCCCGGGCGGGCCGGTGGCGCTGCGCTCCTGCCGCCCTAGACCGCCCCGCGATGCCGCGCGGCTTCCTCGTCAAGCGCAGCCGGCGCCCCGGTGGCTCCTACCGGGCTCGCCCGCGGGAGTCGGACCCGGACCGGGACCCGCCGCCCGCCCCTCCGCCGCCGCCTCCGCCCCCCCCGCCCTCCGCCGGGGATAGCCCCACCGCTAGACAGGGGGCGGAGGAGGAGGAGGAGGAGGGCGAGGAGGAGGAGGGCGCCGCCGCCGCTTGCCCCGCGACGTGGCCCCCCGGCGGCGGCTGCAGCGGCCCCGGGGTCACCCCGCCGGAGGGTCCGGCCGCTTGGGGGGCGACGGGGCCGTGCAGCGTGGCGGGGCCGCGGGCGGCTCTTTTCGAGCGGTGCCTCAGCTCCCCCGCCTCCGCCGAGTCCTTCCCCCTTGCCGCCTCCTTCCCGCCCGCCGAGAAGCTGCTGCTGCAGCCGCGCACACCCCTGCCCGCCCCGCCGCCGCCGGTGCCCGCGCTGAAGCGGCCGTCGCGGGCCAAGGCGCCCGCCAAGAAGGGCAAGGCCACGCGGAAGCTGAGCTTCGCCGACGAGGTGACCACCTCGCCCGTGCTGGGGCTGCGCATCAAGGAGGAGGGGCCCGAGGGCCGGCCGGGACCGCCGGCGGGGCGCACGCCGCTGGGAGAGTTCATCTGCCAGCTGTGCAAGGAGCAGTACGCGGACCCGCTGGCGCTGGCCCAGCACCGCTGCTCCCGCATCGTGCGCGTCGAGTACCGCTGCCCCGAGTGCCACAAGATCTTCAGTTGCCCCGCCAACCTGGCATCTCACCGCCGCTGGCACAAGCCGCGTCCCGGCCCCAGCGCCGACGGCGCCGCCGCCGCCCCGCCGGGCAAGGAGAACAGCCCCGAGCGGCGACTCCGCGGCCCCGCCGCGCCCCCGCCACAGCCCCCGCTGCCCGCCCGTCAGCACCGCGGCGGCGCGGACAGCGCCGGCGGCGCCCCGGCCGCCCCCGGCCCCGGCCTCGGCCCGGCTCCCGGCGGCGCTCCCGGCCCCGGCGGGGAGGCGTTCGCCTGCCCCTGCTGCCAGAAGCGGTTCCGACGGCAGGCTTACCTCCGCAAGCACCTGGGCACCCACGGGGTAGCGCGGCCTGCCGCCTTCGGCCCCCCGGAGCGCGGCCCTCTCGCCTTCGCCTGCCACCTCTGCGGCGCCCGGTTCCCCTCGGCGGATATCAGGGACAAGCATCGGCTGTGGCACGCCGTGCGGGAGGAGCTGCTGCTGCCGCCGCCGCCGCCCGCCAGCGTCCCCGAGGGCGGCGCGGCGGGCGGCGAGCGGCAGGGCTTCCCCTGCAAGCACTGCCCCGCCACCTTCTTCAGCGCGCCCGGGCTGGCGCGGCACGCCAGCAAGTGCCACCCGCCGGAGAGCAGGCAGGTCCTGCTGCTCCAGGTGCCCGTCCGGCCGGGCTGCTAGGCCCGCGGCCGCCTCGGTGGGACTGCTCCGAGAGCCCGGGCTAGCCGAGCGGGTCCTGGCCACGCTGTAATTCCTATGGAAAGTCGCGGCTCTCACGGATATGACGGCGGAGAGAGCCGCCCGCGGACTCCCGCCCGCCGCCTCTCCGGCCGGTGGGTAGCGATGCGCGCCCCGCACGGGCACGGCAGCGGGCTCAGCCCACGGGCGGCACCGCCGCCGCTCCACGGGACCGGCCAGCAGCACTCACACCGAGCCCCGCACGGGAGGGAGGGCCGCGCAGACCCCCAGCTGTCGGGGCGGCTGGAGGACGGGGGGCGGCTGTGGGCACGGTCCCGGGCGAGGAGTCCTGCCAGCATCTGCCGGGACGCGAGCAATGCCCGGGCGCCGGGTACGGGCCCACCGCTAGTATATCTTCCGTAGCGACTCTCGGATAGAAGTACAGCTGTATATACGGTATTTAAAGAGAGGAATTATTTTTCGTGAGAAAAGGAGTCTGATCTAGTGACCTTGTTTTAATAGCCTTAGCCCCTGAGCTTCAACACTTAAGTTATGGTGAGGTGTTTTGTTTGCTGTACTCTGTACTAAGATAGCTGAGAAAGTAAATGTTCATATTAAGTCAATGTCAAGTCATATAATAGCTAGCAAAACGTATGGGAAACTAATTGTGCTGTCTGCTTAATTGAAATACAAGGTGTTGATCTATGTATGCATCTCCTGCTTACTCTGTGTCTCTGTACTCTAGCGACTGTGCAGTAGGCAAAACACGTCTCTGGCAGTTGCCCATTCCAAAACCTGCTCCGTTAGTGGTTTGTTAGTGCAGCATAGACAGTAGCCAGGAGCGCAGTTCAGTGTCACCTGGCTGGGCAGTGTGTGGCCCTGCCAGCCCCTGCATCGTAGGCAGGCAGAAAGGACCCTGTCTGCAGCTGGCCTTCTCAGGAGGCCTCCGACCCCTCTCCACTGTGAGCTGCGCTTTTGATGTGAGTTCCTCCAAGTCTTGTGAACAGCTGAAATTAGGACATGAAACAGTCTTTAGACATGTTGCTAAAGTGCAGATGACAGGCTACCCTCCTTCTCCCTAACAACACCTACTTTTAGCAAAGCATCCTGTGGTGTGTATTCCCTGGCTTTGACAGTGCTCTGGCCAAATGCTTTGAAATGCTGTTGAATTTACCAGCTACTGACATTTCAGCCATATTTATTTATTTATTTATTTACTTATTTAATTTTTCAACTTGAGTGCTTGTTTCTAAATGTTATAGAAGATGAGGCTAAAAACAAGGGCAAAACAATTCAATAAAAGATTTAAAACGTAGCTCACACCTTTTTTCAATTCAGCAGGGCAAAGTAGGTCAGCTGGTGATTTCTGAAGAACCAAACTGATCCCAGTTGTAGTCTTTGTTCTAACACTCTCTCTGAAATAAAGCATGTAAAATATTTCAATCTCTTGATTAGCATCCTCTAAAGCCATTATTTCTGTCGTTTTACATTTTGCTTCACACAAAAAAAGATTCAGATGTATCGTGCCCAAAGGCTGCAAGCAAGTGATAAATGCTTTATTTTAAATGCGCTTCACGGACTTTTGTCATTTTAGTTCCAGGACCTGGACAAGTGAATTAAAACAATATCACCTAATATAGCCAAGATTTGCTCTCTGACAGAGGAGGCTAAACTCACATCTCACTCTTCTGACAAAAATAAAACATGTTTTAAATTGTGCATTTTTCTGTCATTTGTTGGTAACAATGGCAAAAATGCCTATTCATGCATTTAATGGGTTCACTCCCGGAGAAGGTCACCATGATTTTTAAAATCATCGTTCTCCTTTCTCCACTTGTGCAGTTAAAGATGAAGGGCGCCAGACCACACAAATGTGATGATTATTAACTGCTCCTAAAATCAGCACTTGAACGAGCCTGCAGGAGAGAATATCCTGTGCTTTATATTACATGCAATGTATTTACTAGATTTGGGGAAAAGTTTTCAGCCTGGCATTCTTTTGATGCACTGGGAAAGAGCTCCTAAGAACTCATATACTTGTTAATACAAATGAAAACTAAGCTGTGTATTGCACTTAATTGCTCCATGTGTACATAGTACACAATTCTTCCATAAATTGGAGTAAGAATCTAGTCAGTGAGGTGAATGACTAATATGCAAAAGGTGGTAAGAATAATTTTATTGTATTATTAAATAGCATGTCTTCTTTTCAACCATTACAAATTTGTTGATACTACATGAATGACAATACATAATTTCTCTTTTTATTGTTGCCCATATGATATATTTACACATGCAGTTAGTACCGATGCCATGCTACATTTTGTTAACAGCATTTTGTTGTTTACTAGACTCAAAATGTGAGCATTTCACCTTTTGTAGGAAAGTACCTCTGGGTGGGTGGAATTCGTGCACTAACCTGCGCTCAAAGGGTTGAAATCAACAGCATTTCAGGCCAGGCTCCCAGAGCATGTTCCCTTTTCTTCCCTAGTACCCATCATCGCAGCAATGAATTTCTATTAGGAAAGTGTTTGTTTTTAAATTTTTTTTAATGTAAGAAAAAAAGAATATACATCTAGATGGAGCATCCCAATGATAAAGGCTAAAACCCATGAAACTTGATAGCACTTACTATTGATACCACTTGGAAAAGCAAACATTATAAAAATATTTGGAAGCCAAGCATAAATAGAATTTCAGCACAGTGATTTTTTTTTTTCTGGCATAGTTTTCTGCAGAGTTATGAAATGATACATTGCTTTGTGAAGAAAGAATTGATGCTATGAGGAAATTATTTCATTTGGACTCTGTAATGCTTGAAAGGCCATTGAACTATTTTATTCTCAACATAAATAATCTGTACACATCCTGTGCATTAACATTGTGATATCTGACAAAGACTTCACATATGCAACGTCAATTTAAAATTGTACATTCATTTTCAAATTGTACATATTTCTGTCTTTGTTACAGAGAAAATTGCAATGGGGCACAATAAATACAGTGTAATCCAGCTGCAGTCTCCAATTCCATATGTAACTCAAGATCAACCAGAGTTAAAAATGACTACTGTTAAGATACCATAATCATCCATGAAGGTAAAAGGTGCAGAAGACAAACTGCACTGCTATTAAAAAAAAAAAAAAAGCAGGCAGACTGAAGTTTGATAAAAAACCAATGCTAAAATATCAAAGTAAAATTCCAGTGTCACTGTTTAAAACAAACATACAGAAAAGGAGTATGCAGGGCACAGGCGCACACACATGAGAGACATTACCCTTGAGTGAAAGGTATGAGCGGTGAATAAAACCCCAGCGTTGAGTTGCTGCGGGAAGGGTGGCCAACTGCTGTTCACTAGAAAGCTTCAGGCATCTTGCCACTTAGGATTTGTTGGCTGAGCCAGAGGAGCGGCGCAATTTCATGGACATGCGGCTCTTGCTAGTCCGAGGAGACATTGGAGAGACTAAGTCTGTTCCATCCACCTGTGCTGTTGCTGCTGCTGGAGTTTCTCCCAGCTGAGTCTCTGGGCAGAAGCCTGAAGAGGACAGCAAGAACCAGATGGGTCAGTGCTGCCTTCCGCACTCACAGTGTGGGATCTCTTAGCAAGGGGCAGGGAAGAATTTCAGTGCTGCTGTCACTGCCACAGCATCTCCTAGCCCTTTACCAGCTGTGGGTGATGGTACTGCTCATGGAGTTAGCAACTGCCACAAATCCACCCCTAGAGAAAAGATGATGCCAGAAACCTCTGAGCTATGGGACTGCAGAACCCCCTCGCTCTCAGCAATTGAGGCAGCACTGAAGTGGGAGATGTTCTCCCGCTAACCAGGAGAACAAACACCTCCAGTTCCCTCACAGGGATGGGGAGTCGTTATTCAAACCACAACCCAGAAGAATCCAGTCTTTAATGAGAACATGAAGGTTAACAGCTCATTGTGCATGAAAGGAGCTCTAGGAATGCAGCTGAAAAGGTGGAGTGAATTTGGGACCAACTGGGAGAGCAAAACATCTTCTCCCATCCCAACTTTAGTTGGTGCTTCAAAAGGCAAATTCCTACAGGGCCCACAAGGCAGAAGCTTGAACAGATCGTACTAACTGGAGGCACTATACGTTAATGTTTCTTTGTAAAAGGAACAAGATGAATTTGAGACAACAGTATGTAATTCATTAGCCCAGTGCCCAGAGCTATGCTCCAGTGGGCCCTGAGTCCTCACTGCGAGGGGACAAGGCTTTTCCTTACAAACAGCCTGTCTCCAAATCTTCCATAGATACAAAAGGAAAAGGAGAAAACATGAAATCAAAATTACATTCTCCTTTCCATGTTATAGAAGATTAATACTGTGAACTCCCATCCATAAAATTAAACTGCATTTTAATTAGCCATTCATAGAGACTGACAATGTGATTGAACTCAACTACTTCAGTTGCCACTGAAGGCTTCTGACCTGTGTAAATTACAGACAGAAAGTCCTGCAGGTGTTGATGGGGAAACCCCTGCTGACTTCAGTAAGCCTGAAATCCCCTGCTATTTCTTCCACATCATGCTATTATTGCTAATTCTTTAAAAGGGGTGCAAAAATAATTCAAAACTGGTCATGATTTATTTTGAAAGATTCCTCTAAAATCAAGTGAGGTCATCACTAAGAAGTCAAGGAGTACATTTAAAACATCGTCATAAACCTCTGGTATTTAGTGACCTGGCTGTCCTTGCCTGGTCCCTCACCTGCCTGCTCCAGAGGGACATCATGGTACTTTCTATCTTCAGACTGACACAAACCATCAGAGTGACAGGGGAAAGCAAGGGCTGTTATTTGTTCCCCAGCTGGTGACAGTAATTCTGTTCATGAACTAGGTACTTCATTGCCAAACAATCTGGAAAAGCATGATAATGTCTGATTCACTGTGCCTTATAGAAAAAGGCAGGCAGGGAAACATGCATTCGCATTTTCTGAAATTCTATCTTGTTCTGTTTTTACAAGGAATTAAAGCATTTCAAATGGTGGAAATTAGAGAATAGAAAATAACCGTTGTTGTTTTGCACAGCATACCATTCACAGCTAGCGTGAAAGACCTTCCGTTTCAAGCCTTTGCCCTTTACCTTGATGTGGCCAATGCTTTCTAGTGGAGGTTTTGGAAGGAGAAGAAATATCACAGCATTTCTTTCTTTGTTGAGAATGAAGAAGTGATGAGGAAGGAGGAGTGGAAAGAAGTGAGGAAGGGGGAGGAGAAAAGATAAAAGATAACAGGTGTGAGACATGAGACACGAACCGCAGAGATTGAAGGGTATTAACAGATGAGCACAGAAAACGGAATTTCGAATTTCATTATGCAATTGCTGCTCATGCTACAGGTTAAAGAGAGTGATGAGTTAGTTATGTGCAATGAAGCAACAGCTCTGAAATCCAGCATCATACTTACCAACTAAGCATTACAAGAAAAAAAAGGAAGGGAGAGAGAAAGAAAAGAATTCTATAACATTATCCAGATCCAGCAACCTTATTAATAGCAACTGAGATACATCCTAAACACTGTCTGAAATGCTTGCTTAACATCTGTGATAACAGTTAAATACTCACACACATACACACAATCGAGAAGAAAAAACAAATGACAACTCGATATATGGCTTCTGCTCCCCAGCTGTTTCACGGTATTGAATATGCTAAAATTATAGCCAGTCTCAACATGAGACTCCTGAAATCATGTAAAGAAGAAAAAACAGCTAGTTTTAAGCTAGTTAGTCTGCATCGAAGGGTTAAATCCTAGTGTGGAATTTTATCACAGGGTAGATAAAGAAAACCTTAACCTGCCCCATTATTTCAATTAAGGTATTATTCCAGTCGTAGCTTAAAATTTTGTTTTTAATTCCTGCAGACAGAAGCACAAATTCACACGTAATCACATTTTTTAAAGAAACTTAGAGCTATTGAAGAACAGAAGTCATGTAAAGTGATTTTCACATCTGAACATATCACACCAGAAGAGTGAAGAGTAACAATAATCAACAGACTAATTAGTAACTAAATTTCTCTGAATTTTAGATAAGCACATATATCTATATATACATACATATGCACATACACATGTGGATATTAAATGTGGTATATTAAAATTTTGCAGGTTTTGCTTCCTCTCCATAATTTTAAAATTTTCAGTATAAAATGTTAGTATCTCTGTCCACAATTGTCCTGGTTCTGGCCAGGACAGGGTTAATTTTTGCAGAAAAATGGGGCATTGGCTAGGACCCAGAGCTTATTCTATACCACCTCACGTCATTTTTCTGGGGAAGGGCTGCTTCCAGGTCAGCATAGTGTGTTCACCTCTTTCTTGTACCCCCTGACATTAGTATTGTTGCTGTTACTGTTTGTTTTCTTATCTCATTGCTGTTTCCAGTAAATTGTTCTTATCTCAACACGTGATCTTTACCTTTTATGCCTCCAATTCTCCTCTCGAGCCCACCACAGGGGAGGGGAAGAGGGAGGAGGAGAGATGGTGCAGTGCATGGTTTGGAGTGGTTTCAGTGGGAACACTAAATTGGAGAATACCATTCCTAAACCATGACAGCCTTATTTGGTGCCTAATGAAGGGTCAGATCTGACCAGAGCAGATTGGGAAGAAAACTTGATCTAAGCATTAGTTGTATTAGGTCCAGAGCCACTGGTCACAATGTTGCTTGGTCTGTTCATGTGGGTGCGGTACCTAACCCTGGGTATGTTTTCTGCATATGCACTATGCGCCCATCACAGTGCTCTTTTTTCAGAGCAGGGAGAGAGATCGGGATTGTTATGTGGATGCACTCTGTGATTTCAGTTTATGATATCATAATATCAAGGGCAATGAGGGTCATTTAGTATGTGTATTCAGTGTTGCTCTCCTACCCCCACCTTGGGCGGCACCTCTGAGAGTCTATAAGGGGACACCTCATCACTCTCTACAGCTATCTGAAAGGAGGTTGTAGCCAGGTGGGGGTTGGTCTCTTCTCCCAGGCAGCTATCAGTAAGACAAGAGGGCATGGTCTCAAGCTCTGGCAGGGGAGGTTTAGGTTGGATATTAGGAAGAAATTCTTTACAGAGAGGGTAATCAGGCATCAGAATGGGCTGCCCAGGGAAGTGGTGGATTCTCCATCCCTGAAGGTTTTTAAGATCTTAGAGACTGGATGTGGCACTTAGTGCCATGGTCTAGTAACCACAGCGGTAGTGGACCAAGGGTTGGACTTCATCATCTTGGAGGTCCTTTCCAACCCGGCTGATTCTGTGATTCTATTAATAATTGTTCCCATTCTGTGGGAAGACAAAGGAAGGATGATTTTCCTCAGCTTTTCACCCCCTTTTTCTCCTTTAGGCTTGTTATAACAGCTTTTGAGAATTTTGAATTCCCTTCGGATGTTAAGGAAAGCATGCTATGTTGCTACGTCTCCTCAGTAAAATCTACACCATGTCTAGAATCAATATGATCAACACCATGTCTAGTGTTAGGACAGTTAGTCTAGTGTTATGAGCTGGAAGGTGGGAGAAAATGGGCCAGTTTTGGGGAAAATTATCAGCTCCAATGATTTGGAAGTTCACCCCTGAACAACTACAGGACCCTATTAAAGTGACAGAATATTTGCAAGAATGCTGTGACAACTCCAGAGAGGGGCAACTTATTGCAGTATGTTGGGTCCTGGCTGGTGTTTACCAGACACAGTTCAATATTAGACAGCACCCTCAGGGGAAGGAGGAGGAAACCAGACCAACAGGCACCATGGCCACTCAAACTGCAGCTGAACCAGGGGAACAACCTGTGCCAGTAGCAGTCGCCCCATACAGAAGAAGAAATCCAAGACCAAATCAGTTCTCTTAGTGAGGGATGAAGAGGAAGCAGGGTCCTCAGAACAGGAGCAAGAGGCAGGGCCAGAGATAATCACCCGATCCCCATCCCCGGGTGAGCTGTGAGATATGTGAAAAGATTTCAGCCACCAGTCAGGAGAGCCCCTGGTGACCTGGCTGCTCTGATGCTGGGATATCACAGTCCATGATATGAAACTAGATGGTAGTGAAGCCAAGCAACTGCGATCCCTGTCCCAGGGCATGGGCACTGACAAGGCGATTGGGAAGAGGACAGAAACTCTGCCTCTGGAGGCGACTCCTGTCAAGCATGAGGGAAAGGTATTCTCTCAAGGATGATCTAATGGGGTGTCCAAGCAGGTGGAAGGCCATGAAGAAAAGTATCCAGTACCTGAGAGAATTGGCTATGCTGGAGGTAATCTACAGGGATTCAAATAATGAGGAGTCCCCTGTAGATCCAGATGAGGTCCAGTGTACACAATCCATGTGGCAGAAATTTGTATGGAGAACACCATCGTCATGCACCAACTCATTGGCATTGATGTCAATGAAAGAAGGAGAACGAACAGTGCTTCAGGTGACTACCCAGCTCTGGCAATATGAAGATCATCTTTTTTCCTCCCTACTGACCTGTGCCTCAGCTGTGGAAAAACTGTCTAAGACTGCAGAGAGGCTCAAAAGATTCAAGCAAGTAAAGAGGAAAGGTCCCATGCCCCACCAGTACAGACCAGAGTCTCTGCTATTGGGAGCAAACACCCCCCTGCTTGTGAGAGAGAGGACACACCACAAGCTAACCTGTGGTTTTACCTGCACCATGGAGAGGACATGAGGAAGCAGGATGGAAAACCCACCTCTGCCCCAGCAGCACAGGTACAAGAGTTGAGAGGAAGAACAACCACCACAGGAAATTCTTCAAGGATAAATGCAGCTCCAGTTTCCAGAGGGCAAGTCCTGAGAGTAGGAGGACTGATGTTACTTCTGATCCTCTTGAAGGGACCTCCAGGTCACACTTACAAATGAGCAACGAGTACTATGACCAGGACTAAAGGGGCCCTGTCTCTAGCCAGGTGGAGGAAAGGGACAATCAGACCTGCTGGAGTGTGTGGATCTAATTGCCTGGCACATCAGACCCACAAGTGTATAAGGTTTCAGTTGACACAGGTGCCCAATGAACCCTGATGCCATCAAGATATGTGGGGCAGAATCCATCTCTATTTTTGGAGTGATAGGGCGATCCCAACACCTGACTGTACTGGAAGCTGAAATGAGCCTGACCAGGAACAAATGGCAAACACACTCCATTGTGACTGGCCCAGAGGCCCTGTGCATCCTTGGCATAAATTACCTCAGGAAGGGGTATTTCAAGGACCCAAAAGGGCATCATTGGGCTTTGGGGACAGCTGCTGTGGAGAAGAGGCAATTAGACAGCTGAATACCTTGCCTGGTCTCTCAGAGGACCCTCTGCTTTGGGACTGAACAACAGGTACCAATTGCTATCCCAAAAGTGCACTGTCAACACCTCCACACCAACCAGGAATCTGTGACCCCCATCCATGAGATGATTCGTGAACTGGAGAGCCAGGGAATGCTCAGCAAAACTCACTCACCCTTTCATAGTCCTATGTGGTCAGTGCATTAGTCCAATGGAGAGTGGAGACTGAATGTAGATTATTGTGGCCTGAACGACATCACACCTCAACTGAGCGACGCTGTGCCGGACACACTGGAACTTCAGTAGGAACTGGAGTCCAAGGCAGCAAAGTGGTGCCACCATCGACATTGCTCATGTATTCTTCTCCATTCCTTTAGCAGCAGCAGAGGGCAGGCCACAGTTTGCTTTCACCTGGAGGGGCGTCCAGCACACCTGGAACTGACTGGCCCAGGAGGGTAAACACAGCCCCACTATTTACCATGGACTGATCCAGACTGCACCGGAAAAGGGTGAGGCTCCAGAACACTTACAGTACATTGATGACATCATCGTGTGGGGCAACACAGCAGAGGAAGTTTTTGAGACAGGGGAGAAGATAATCCGTATTCTCCTGAAGGCTGGTTTTGCCATAAAGCAAAGTCAAGTCAAGGGACCTGCCCAGGAAATTCAGTTTTTAGGAGTAAAAGGACAAGATGGTCATCAGATTCCAATGGATGTGGTCAACAAAATAGCAGCTATGTCCACACCAATTAGCAAGAAGGAAACACAGGCTTTTCTAGGTGCTGTGAGTTTTTGGAGGATGCGTATTCCAGGTTACAGTCAGGTTGTAAGCCTTCTTTATCATATGACATGAAGGAAGAACAATTTTAAGTGGGGTCCTGAACAACAACAGCCTTTTGAATATTAAAAAGAAGCTTGTTCACGCAGTAGCCCTTGGGCCAGTCAGGACAGGAATGTGAAACATGAAGAATGTTCTCTACACTGCAGGCAGGGAGAAAGGTCCTTCCTGGAGTCCCTGGCAAAAAGTATCCAGGGAGACTCGAGGATGAACTCTGGGGTTCTAGAGTTGGGGATACAAAGGATCCGAGGCCTGTTACACTCCAACTGAAAAAGAGATACTGGCTGCTTATGAAGGGGTTCAAGATGCTTCAGAAGTGATTGGTGGTGAAGCACAGCTCCTCCTGGCACCCTGACTGCCAGTGCTGGGCTGGATGTTCAGTGGGAAAGTCCCTTCCACACATCATGCCACTGATGCTATGTGGAGTAAGTGGGTCACACTGATCACACAGTGAACTCGAACAGGAAACCCTGGTCTCCCAGGGATCTTGGAAGTCATCATGAACTGGCCCGAAGGCAAAAATTTCAGACTATCATCATCATCGGAGAAGGAGAAGGTGACACATGCTGAGGAAGCCCCATAGTATAATCAGCTACCAGAAAATGAAAAGCAATGCGGTCTCTTTACTGATGGTTCCTGCTGTATTGTAGGGATACATGGAAAATGCAAAGCTGGTGTATGGAGTCCTATGTGGCGAGCAGCAGAAGCTATTGAGGGACAAAAGCTGGATCAAGTCATGTTGCAGGGGGATTTGATTTTTGGGTGAGAACAGTCTGTAATGTTGAATTGTATAACACTGGTTGCTGAATGACACTGCCACTGTGCACCATAACTACCACAGACAAATGAGCATGGACTGCTCCGGATACACCAGTCATGAGCTCCTGATGCAGCTTGCAACCAGTCAACAGTACACCAGTTTCTCTGCCCTGGAAGACATCTAGGACAGGTAGAACCCAGAGTCATGGACTAAGTGAACTCAACAGACATCTTGAAGGGATGGCCATTGACTATGGAAATGATACTCATGCTTGTGTATAGATACTCATGCATCTATATATATATGTATACATTTGGAAGGTGTAGGATCTGGGCATGACAGAGATGCTACAGAATAAGGGGTGGATAACGTCCTGGTTCTGGCCATGACAGGGTTAATTTTTGCAGAAAAATGGGGCATGGTTAGGACCCAGAGCTTATTCGATACCACCTCATGTCATTTTCTGGGGACGGGGGAAAGGCTGCTTCTGGGTCAGCATAATGTGGCGGAGGAAGTGGTTGGGTTTCCATATGAATTGTTTGTCTCTTTCTTGTACCCCCTGTCACTAATATTGTTGCTATTACTGTTTGTTTTCTTATCTCATTGCTGTTTCCAGTAAATTGTTCTTATCTCAACACGTGATCTTTACCTTTTATGCCTCCAATTCTCCTCTCGAGCCCACCACAGGGGAGGGGAAGAGGGAGGAGGAGTGAAGGTGCAGCATGCGGTTTGGAATGGTTTCAGTGGGAACACTGAATTGGAGAATACCATTCCTAAACCACAACAACAATGAAATATTTAGTTATCCAAAATATAAACCCAGGGTTAAACATGAAGGCTTTATTGGCAATTGATGTGAATCCAGAAAGTTCTATAAAATAAACAAAATAGATGTGTTTGGATTTTTAAGAGGTTGAAAAATGTCCGTATTTTTCTCCTCTTAGGCTTGACAAGTGACAAATATCATAGCCTGATGTGCTATGATATTTTGGGGCCATAATGTAAAGCCGCTTTAATTGCTTCTGAACAAGGAGGTCGGTCAACAAAGTTGAAATGCGACATTTTCACACTCCATTTGAAAAATTTTAGGATCTTCTAATAATAGTACATTTTTTTTGCTCAGAAATTAACTATTTAAATGTAAAATGGAATACTAGCTCCACACAGACTGAGAAGTAAGGTGAGCTGGAGGAATCTGGAGGTATCATAACATATGCATTGCCATAACTCATCTTGCCAATCAGTTCTGACTTTCAAAGGTGAAAAAATCACTGAGCAGAAGCCTGACAGGATGCTGATGTTAAGACAGGGTAAGACTACTCTCTGCTTCTGGCTTTATCACACCTCGTTGTCTGGATCAATGCTGTCCTGAGTGCTGTCTCAGAATGACCACAGAGGAAAATATAATTTTTACATGTTCGTAGATTCTGATGTTCTTTAAGATACTTCAGCATATCCCACCTGACCTTCAGGGAAGAGGGCAATCATTTTTGTACAGCTTGTGCCCTCTGCCACTCTTACAAATTCCACTACAAATTTGGCCAAGTTGTCTGTCACGCTCAGCAGAGCTTTGATAGTGTCAAATTAATTAAGTCTCTCACAAATTTTGTGAAATGAGGACAGGAAGTGAGAAGCAGATGTAGAGAGAAAAACTGCAAAAGCAGCTGCACAGGAAGGCAAAGAGGTGAGGAAAAGATGGTCTAAAGACCTGGGAGACCAGAACTGGTAGAAGAGAAAGAACTAAGAGGCAGACATGAGAAAGAACACAGCAAAAAAAGATTAAATTTGAGGCAAAACAGCAGCCAAGTCCATGTCCATTGAAGAATGCTCTTCAGAACCCGGCTGGAACCATGCATGTTAGGTAAGCCTGTTCCTCTCTGTCAACTAACATCTGTGAAACCCACTGGCAAAATTCCCAGTCTTTCCACTAGTGAAGATTCAGGCAGAGCTCACCATTACTACCAATTATTGTCCTATCTCAGTCTGCAGGAGGTGGTGGTGGCTCTAGAGGTTGCAGTTTAGCTTATGTATCATGTGGTTGTTAATCAGTGTTACAGAATTTCTATTTTGCCCTATGCTTTAAAACAAAAATTGAAGGAATTACACAAGCAAATGTCACAAGAAAATAAAGTCAAAACTTCAAAAATTAGCATCCCCTTGTACGATGTTTTTTAATTGGACAATCATACTCTTTTTTCAGTGGACCCATTTAATTAAATGTAGAAAGTTGATCTGTTTGGGTTTCTAGCAGCCCACACTGAATTTACTGCCTCAAAGTGCAGTACCTCAATGTACCTTCACTGAAGTGGTTGACTTAAGGACAATAGTTCAGAAATGTTTCAGCTTCAGCTGTTCCAATATGACATTCCATTTGGAAAATGTCAGTAAGTTTTGAGGTTTTGCTCTGATTTGGAATGAAAAAAAGTCTTCCTGAGTTTGGATTAGAGAAGGGATAATGAGAAAGTCTTCCAGTCCTTCCAGACACAGAGTCCTCATTTCTGTATTTCAGCTTTACTTCCAATCACACACTTTACTTCCAGCACACTGGAATGACCAACATCAAGCGTTGCTCAGACCCTTCTAGAGTGACAAAGCACCATCATTCTCATCTATGAAGGGGTGGTACAGGGCCAAAAAGGGCACTAGTTCCAAGTTTCACAACAAGCAAGCAGCAAAAGAAATTTAGATGTGAGCTGTTAAATTTGATTTTTTCTTGTGCAAGGCTGAAGCATCATTACCTCTACATTCCACTGCTTCCCTGCCTATATGATGGCATCCCCACTTAGTTTGGGAGTGGGGCAGCAGAATTGTTCTGAATGCAGGCTTGAGAATACGGGAGTGATTGTTGGGACCAAAAAGTCTGGTGCTTTTGTCACAAGGAAAATTCCATGACTAATGTAGAGAGGCTCCTTCTCTATAAAGTTTACTGTAATGAGGTACTAGTTTAAGTAGGAAGAAAGGGAACATAAGAAGACAGAGAAAAAACAAACTCAAGATGTGAGTACATTTTAAAGCTCAGAATCTTAGCATCATGAGGTCAATGTGCCCTTCAATATAATTGAGCTTACCATCGACAGTTCCCTCAACCTATTCTGGTGTCACAGAGATCTGGTTCACTCAATAGCTGCATAGGACGAGTCACTCTATTTAGCAGAGTATTTGCAATTACAGTATTTAACAGAGACAGCATAACGTAAAAAACACAGAGGCAACTGAATTACATTCTGTGCTTAAGTACAGGTAAATCTCAATTTTTTGAAAATGTACACATCCACTACTCTAGTCAGGTTCCTAAACATGGGAAGGTGGACTTGTCAGATATTTTGACAGGGCAAACTAAGCTTCTAGATAAAACAGCAGCTGCCACAATCACATTGTATTGAAGAGCACCCATGGTAAAAAAGAAAACAGCTTTTGCGGAGGGCTGAGCCTTTGATAAAATATGTTGAGGAAATATAAAATACGTTGAGGGAATATAGTTTGTTACTGAATGGCATTTTCTCTATTTGCTCCGATTATCATAGTTCAAATGAAAAAAATGGCATGCTGCAACTGGTCAATGGTATCACAACAACAACAACAAAATGACAATACCTGGTGATGGGCTGTAGAAGCCTCATAGTTTCTACAGATCTTTCTTAGATGACAAAAATGTATAGAATATTTTATAAAATTAAACATATTCAGCAGTTGTAAACTTGGAGATCATGATACAAATAAAGAATCAAGTCTATGATATCTAAAATGTGGATTTTTTTTCTAGCCTCTTCTGTTCAATTATTTTTCATTAAAAGAACTCCCAGACATAAATGAAATATTTTGTATTTAAAAATGTGATGTATTTTTAGAATCTGGTCAGAAATTTTGAGATGACATGGACATGTTGGGCAGACAGCCTGCAAGGTTTTGTCTGAGTCATCCTGGGGGTGATGAATGCACGAGGATTCCCAGGCAGGACTCCAGCACCACCTCCTATGTTCAATCCTGGCATAGTTCAGTGCTCTGTACATCTTTCAAGAAATCCACCTGTTGCAGGGGCCTTGAAAACTTGTGGATATGTATTTTTTTAACAGCATACCTAGTGGACTTGTGGACTAAAGTCCATCAGAGATTTGGGTCATCTGTAGCAGCCTCAGTCACAGGTCTGCCTTCACTAGAACTGGAAACCAGTGGTTTCTAGGCTAACCTCAAACCCTGGGGTAGCCTTTTTGGCAGGTAACTGCAGTGTCATCTTATACCAGACTCAGGCTTTACAATTTGTGCCCTCCAGAGTCAGTTTGGAGGTAGATGGTGTGGTGCTATTCCAGGCACTCTGTCCTAGAGCTGAGGATAAGAGTTCCAGAAGCCTCAGACGGAACAAGGATCAGGCTGCAAGCAGGACTGCCAGAGCATCCCCAGTTTCCTTGGGCTGAAACAAAAGCTCAGAGTCAGGCAGATCTGGGAAGACGTTCTTTGACTCTGAGTCACACTGTGCTGCAAGTCCATTCTAGGAAGCTGCTGGCTGCTCCTGACACTGATGTCTTGGTCATTTGCACTGCACAATGCAAGGTTCAGAAGAATGTGGCCCTCAGGACAGGGCATCATGTTTTGCGGTATGTAGACACACACACATGCAGATGTGAAATACATCACAAGCTCCTATTAATTAGATTCCTACAGAAAATTATTGAGTTTGATAGAAAGGTTAAGTTAAAAATCAAGTTTCTAAAAAATCATAACCTCACTTCAGATCATGTTAGAGAATACAAAGTATGACTAGGACAATTTTTAAAAGAATATAGGAATTGCCACTGTAGAGCACAGTACTCTGATGCACCAAACTAGCACAGAAAAGTAGGTTTGCTTCACCCTGAAAGAAAGAACTAGAGGAAGAGGGTGGAAGGACTTGGCCTGGAATGAGGTTTCTGAAAATAAATAGGCAGAACTACTATAAGTGCACTAGAATACGGAACATATACTAGCCATACAAAGTGTCTGGTGTTGAATACTTACTAGGTCCATCAGGCAGGAAACGTGGCAAGGATTGGTATCCCTGGTTATTGTTTTAATGTTTCTGGTTACAGATTTTTCCCATTCAAATGTTTTCATACATTAAATTATGTTACTCTTTTTTATACTGGTTTAATTAGTTTTATATTACTTTTAATTCTGTTTCTCTTTGGTCTCAACTATTTCCACTAGCATAACTATACCACTTATTATACTTTGAAACTGCACCGCATTTCTAGTTATTGTTTATACTTTCAAGTAAAGGAGTGTCAACATTTTAATATCTCTCAGTCATTCTTTCTGTAGTCCTATCACAATTCTTGTATAATTTAGAATTAATTTCTGCATATATTTTTGAGATTGAGAAACAAATTTTCAGGTAACAACTTGCCAAATTATTGTTACAAAATTTATTTCATTTAGATTTACAGCTTTTTCATGGAAGCATTTTGATTATCATTAAATAAGGTTTTTCTGAGCCAGAATTTCAAGTTTTACACATTCTTCTTCTCCTTCTCTCCTAGGTTATCACTGGAGAATATCTTACAACATCAATGAAAGACAGTACAAGGGTACAAAACACACCACTGCCATCCAGTACTACTTGTGCATGCTGAGAAACAAAGGTCAACACAATAAAGTGTTACTCATTCAACAACTGTCTCTATCATTAGTTACCTTAATCCCAGAACCAGTGTTAGTGCTTCATGCAGACCTGAGGTTAGTAAAAGACTAAGACTTTTAGAAGATGTAGTGGTCATTTCTCAATCAGTGTGAATTGTCTTTTTTAGTGTGAACAAGGGCAACAAGGAAAGTTTGCATACAATTTGGTTACAAGCTTAGTGCTCTAGTAAAAGTAAGAGGAACAAAGGGGTTTTTGGACACTTTGTCTTACCTTCAGATAAACAGAACTGATATTTAATGATCTAAAAAGAGGGGAAATAAAATAATGAAATAATCATAAGGAGTTCAAGAAATGTCAGAACAGGAAGGCCTTGAGTTATTAATTTTCTTTTACTGATTTTCTCATTAGTAACTGAAAATGCAGTATCCTCTTATAAAACAGGTATTGTACTGGAAAGTAAAAATTACCTTAAAACCAACTTTGCAACTAATAACCTGGGAACAAAATTAATGTTTGCAAGGCTCTGATTTCCAGTTTAAAACTTTACATTCTAAACAGGTAGCGAGCCTTAAAACTTTCTTATGAGGAAGGTGTACTTAGAGAATATTTCTGCCTGAACTAGCCTAGATGAAAGTGCACCAATGCTTCCATGCAGACTTTAGACAGGGGAATGTGGTAAAATTTTCTGTAAAAATACAGGGTCTGATTGCTATATTAAAGCAGCTTGCCAAATCTTAACGCCAGGCACTGGCTCATGATGCCAGAAAACAGAATAAAGATTTAAAGACAACTTTGCCCAGGTTCTCAAGTATGTATCATCTCTCCAATTAATGGTAACCCTCAATGATGTGCAAAGGTCTGAGTTTTCAGTCTTTATAAGTAAGGATACTGCATTTCAAGCAAGACTGTATAAAAACTGTTCTTAACTTCTTACCCGTCTCTGAGGGCAAATGGTGATAAGGTGCTGGACAGAAAACCTGAGCAGCAAAATCTTCAAAAGTTGTAGGCTCTAGATGATGTTGAACAATTGTTTGCAGGTATCGTGCTCTCTCCTCATAACTGGTTTAGCCAAGAATTAAGGATGAATTTATATCATGTACTGTAACTGCTAAATATCAGTGTCCAGTAATTCAGAATTCTTGTTTTTGTTAAATACATATCATGTATTTCAGTAAGTGTACACATTTTTAATTCTTTACATAACTGTGGTATTTTCTGATGCACTGACATAATATTAAGTGTAAAATTGACACGATTAATGTAAAACCATACGGTTCAACTGTATTTTTTTCATGTCTCATGCAAAACTTCCTGAAATTGTTTTCAAACAATAGCAACTTAAACACTCTCTTTCAAGTAACCAATTTGCCTATATTCTGGTCCCAATTAAATGTAAACATTTTTCAATTTTTAAGAGATGTAGCATAAAACATAATCTTAGCATTAACAAAATAAATGATTTTGCACTTTCCCATAATGAACTGCTTCCATAATCCCTAAACACACACACAGAGTTAAGATAAATACACAGTGAAATTTCAGGGAGAAACACCTTGTCAATTATGCCATTAAAACAAGCAAGAATATTTGTAAAGAATCCACAGGACCCTTAAATACTGGTTAACAGGGTGTTGGCAGAGCACTGACAGGAAAAATACTGTACTTCTTCCTTTTCCCTGTGTTCTCCCTTTCTAATATTATTGAAAAGAGACCAGTATTTTGAAGTGTTGTTGTTTTTGAAGAACCCTCTCCAGGCTTCTTGTTCCAGCAGGCCCAATTTGATGTCAGCACAGAGAGAGCGAGAAAAAGAGAGAATATTTCTGCTGTTCATGAAAGCAACTATGGAAATGGCTGTCAAAATGTAGAGCAGCAGGCAGCAACATACAATTATCAAGAAAAACTACCATGCTGACTTCATGTTGTATAGTTGCTGAACTGAGAAATCAGTTAACCTTTTCTCGCACAACTTTCAAGTCCTCCAGCTGGACTCAGTATGTTGAATGAGGGACACCCTCTCCAGCTATCTTACGGAAACAGAGAATGATAAGAAATTTTCCCTTACACTTACAGTTATGCTCACTTTTTTTTCCCTTCATAATTTATTTGTAGATAGTGAGGTAATTTTCTCCTTACATGGTTCTGTTTTCCTAAAAAATCCCCAAACAAATCAGCATGCTGTGGAGGAATGCACTCATAATACGTTTCTTGAAAGTCCTGGGTTCTGATTTCAGGTCTGCTGCACTTTTCAAGGGGATCAGGGACAGTGAGGAAACTACCATTCTGACTCAATTTCACCACCTGTGAAATGGAGATAATATTCATCTTGCACACATTTTTTAGAAATTCAAACATAAAAACTGCACTTCATGTGATAAGCATTTTTAATTACAAGTGCTAATATTTCAAATAAATAATGATACTATTTTCAGTTATGGTAAGCAATAAAATTCCCAAAACCAAATTAAAGTTCTAAACAATAATCTTCATATTAGGTTACAAAACTAAACTTCAACAACTACAGAACTTTTCCTACTCAATTTATTCCTTTTTTTTCTGTACAATATTTACTGCAGATTTTACAGTCTATCTAAATATGAAAAAAATTATAGAGAATATACTATCTGGAAACAAAAAATAAAATTGCTTCTATCGTATTTCCTTTGATCATAACTTGGTTACATAGTGAAACTGGGAAACAGTTTTCCCTCCAAAATCTGTGTACCAAATTCTTTCTAAATCCAGCTGAACCGCAGCAGAAGTCGCAGTTTGGAGAAGCTATAACAGAAGCACTGGGACAAGAGAAAATATAAAAATCTCTCACTGTAATGGTTCTAAGGTTGGGGGATAAACACAGTATTGAGCCTTAACAGAGGAGACTAATATAGCACAGTTTTTAAGAGGCTATGTATAAGTGGTAGAGGATGAAACTGATGGTTGAAGTCTAAATAATACTACGTATCTCACAACTTGTTGAAAAGCACTTTTTTCATTGGGGGAGATTCACAGCTGCTGAATTTTCTGCAGTTAATAGAGTCCTTTGATTCACAGCAGTGCCCCTTGCACAAAAAATACTGGCCTTTGTGTATTACCAGAAACTAATTTTCTATTTGGCTGAAAAGGGAAAAATGGGGTTATTGCTTCTCCCTCCTACAGAGCTTTTCATTATGCCTGATGCACTCAACTTCTAAGCTCTTCTGAGAAAAAAAAATAACTGAAGAGGCAAGAGGTAGAAAAATGAGCTTGTTAGCACATTAGAAGTGAAGTATCTTGGTGGGCCCTAGAAATTCCCAGTGGTGTGTTAACTTATCACTCTATGCATGCTGGCACTGATAGTCTCCCAATTGATCACTCTCTTTTCGCACCAAAGGTGCTGCCAGGAAGCAAAGGCTGAAGGCCCACAGGAGAACAGGCTGCTATCAAAACAAGCTGTTTTTAAAAGTCTGCTTGAATGGGTAAAATGTTTCATGAAAAAGTAGGGTAGACACCTACCTGCTTTTAAAATGGTCTACTTTCAGAGGTCTCTAAAGGAAACCTTTTAGTTTATCCTATTATATCCAAAGCTTATACACAAATAAGGTAAAATGAAGGAAAGTTTCTGCTTTGAGCGTGACAAGGACATTCTCATTCTCCAGTCTTGGTTCCTATCTCCTAACCAAATAAAGAAGTCTCAACATAGATGCTAACTGAGGATAATGATGTTTTTGTTACACAGTGAAGAGGATATGCTTTTATCAGTTCTAGAAGCCTAATTCAAATGCATACTTAGTACACCTAGAGAAAACTAATCCAACTATCTGGGTTGCTGCTCATCACAACATTTCACAAAACCATCTGCAGCTTGTTAAAAACATAACCCTGCTTAAAACCAAAACAAAAATCTGAGGCAAAAACCAAGTCCAAAGCTTGCTCTATTCTGCAATAAGAAATTACACACTCTCCTCAGAAGACTCCTTTTTTATGTTATCGACTGCATAAATGAGATTGGAATACTTTTATCTTCTAGTCACTTGTATTGAGAATATTCTATTATTTAAAAACTCCAGTTTTACATGTTTTTGTGGCTGAAATAATCTGGTTCTGTGCTGTATTTGAATGCAACTGTCTGCAAGAGTGACCATAACCCCATGGTAGCTAATGTCTACATTACTTCTAATAGGCTAGACATTTATTTCTTTAAAACACTACTCTCTAGGAAAGACTTATTAGCACTTACAGATTGAGTGGCACACACAAACTCAATGGCTAGTAATAATAGGGCAATGCAAGCTGTACTCTTACTTCAAGTGGATGTTGCCATTGGCATCAGCAATTAAGATGGAATGGGAATGATGCACAGACAAACCAATGGAGAAAGACTGGCACAGAGAGTGACAAAACACTTAAACAACAGTGTTTTGAGCTTTTTGCTTCTGAAGAAGGTGCTAACTGGAAAAAAAGAGAATGGATAAGAAAGATATACATTAATTATAAGGCACTTGTCCAAATCTGTCAACTAAAAACTTGCAGATGCATAATCTGCAAAAAACTTAACAAAGAAATCTAATTACTTCATTATACTTTTTCAGAAGAAACTGTTCTGAAAAATAGAATCAGTACCAGAAAAAATCAGGAATCATATCTCTATAGGTCACTCAGGTTGTAGTTGCTCCAGCTAAAATTTCATTTGCATTACAATCCATTTTACTTATTCTCTAAGTCTACAATTATTTCTATTAATAATTATCTTAAAAAATCTATTATCTGAAAATACTGCACTTTCCATTATTAAACCCGTTGATTTGTACTTGGGAACAAGCACCGAAAGCCTGGCTGTCAGATCACCTACTTATGCTTAATCTGTCTGAAAAACAACATCTCATGTCTACACCTAATAGCTCCCCATCTCTGCTGATTGTATCACTTCCAAGGTTTAGGTTCCTGTGGCAGACCACATCTACATCTTGTGGACTCCTTATGCAAAATCTAAGCTAGAACTTTTTCTAGCCATCTACCTGAACAAATTACCTAGGCTCTTACCTCACATCTCAGATACTGCCATATCCTTTTCTCTGCCCTCACTAAATGCATTTTTAACCCTCCTTATATCTATTCAGAGCATTGCAGAGCCCACTTTCTGAACATACTACTTAGATGGTGCATTCTTTTTAGATATCATCACCAGTACCTACCACAAATGCAGGCAGGCTACTTACTGGAACTTTATAGTGCATACCTATTTCATAATTTTACCAAAATCACTCACCTCTTGTCAGTTAATGCAGTCACTCTCACTCATCTTGACATTTTTGGACAGGCACTTTTGTACTTTCTTCTATGTGGTTTCTTATGCCTAGCACCAGTCTCCATAAGTGTCCACAAAACAATCCCTGCCTCAAATTCTCTCCTTGGTTATGACGTTTATCGAAAAAGAAACAAGGAAAACATCTTGGAAGACTTACGAGTCCATTCTGCGTAGGTTACACAACTATTTGTGCTGTCTACTATTGTTTTGCATTTCCCTGAATTTTGTATCTGCCTTCACTTGTTGTCTTCAGTTTTATACTTGGTTTTTTCACTTCTGAGGGACAAACATCCGTCTTGTGCTATACTCCATTTCAGTATATTGAGACTGGGGTCAATGCTAAGAATATGTATGTGCCACAATAATACAAGCAAAACAGCTCTGCTCCTTGCATCTTCATCCACCATAGCAATCCCTTTCCTTTATATACAAAAGAATCACCTCACATTTCCAATTTTTTTTTTTATTCCATGGCTTTGTTATCCTTCAATTTGGTACAGAAATCTGTTTGCTACATTTCCGCAAATCCCTATTTGTTCAGTTTGTATTTTTTTCTTTCCTGTAATTTTAACCATGCAATCTCTACAAAATCCCATACTTCCCATTGTTCAACCTCTTCATCTGTTTCCATATTTCAAGACCTTCTGTTGAACTAATCTCCTCATAGTCATAGTATTTTTCCATTCTTCTTCACACTTCTCTGTTTTACAGATGAATAAAATGCATTACAATGAATCTATCTAGTATTTTGCAGTTAAAGAGTGGATGCATGATTATT